GTAGCCCAGGCTGGCTTCAAACTCTCAGTGATCTTCCTGCCTCAGAGCCTCCCGAGTGCTGGGTTTACAGGTGTGTGCCACCACGCCTGGCCAATTTTATTTTATTTTAGACTGAAGTAATTATTCGTTTTAAATGTGCATAATTTTAATCCTCAGGCTTTTTATGGCAATAATAGTAACTAAATACAGGGACACTCTGCCACTGAGCTACTTCCCTACTTCCTCAACCCTTTTTGAAAATTTTTTTGTTTTGAGAGAGTCTGGCTAAGTTGCCCATGCCGGGCTGGAATTTAAGAGCCTCCTGCTTCAGGCTCCCAAATAGATGGGATTGTAGTATCTGCAACCGTGCCTTCAGTCTCTATTAAATTCTTCCAGAGGCCAAGCGTAATGGCGCATGCCTATAATCCCATCTCTCAGGAGGCTGAGGCAGGGCAATCAAACACCTCAAGTTTGAGGCCAGCATGGGCTACGTAGAGTTCAAGGCCAGCCTAAACTACATGGCAAGACCCTGTCTCCAAAGAGCAAAATTCTTCCAGTGCAGAACTTTTGAGTCCTGTACATAGCTGAGGGTGCTTTCTGAGTGATTGTCTCGACTTCCACACGACTGCTGTCACTTCTGTCCAGTAAGAACTAGGAGGAAAGCATCGCGGTAGAGCAGGCTGATCACTGCTTACTGCCCTGGCTCTTCATTTACAGGTATCATTTTTGACCCTTCTCTTTTCCTTATCCCTCATATCTCCATGTAACCCAAAGGTTGGTCGTTTTTTCTTCAGAAAAAACGTAAATCCTATTTATGTAAATCCTATTGCATGTAAATCCTATTTATGTTTTCCTTCTCTTCCAGAATTCGTATGTTGTACCTGGAATAATAATAGAAGTAATAAAAATTAGCTTTATATAGCACTTTATGGTTTACAAAGTCCTTTGACATAATATTCTACCTTATGTAATACTCATAACCACTCTGTGAGACAAATGTTCTTTTCATCTTCTTTTTTTTGTTTGTTTGGGTTTTTTTTAGTTTTTTTTTCCAGTACCAGGAATCAAACTCAGAACCTTGCTCTTGCCAGGCAGGCGCTGTGCCGCTGAGCTAAATCCTCAGCCCCTTTTTCCATCTTCTATTAGTTAATATTTTTAAAACACAACTTTCACCATTTGCATATTCTCTTAGTTCAAACCTTTGATGATTTCACAGCAAGCTGAAGAATGAAGTCACTATTTGTCTTGGTTACTTTTCTCTCGTTGCTGGGACAAAATACCTGACGCCCAAAATTAAGGAAGGAAAGGTTTATTTCGCTTACAGTTTGTGGAGGTTTCAGTCCATACTTGGCAGGTTACAAGGCAGAGTGGCACATGGCAGAGGGCTACAGCTCATCGTGGCAGAACACAGCAAAGCAACAAGCACAAAAGCCAGGAATGGCCCCAAGCAGCCTCTTCCTCTCCCTTACATATGCAAACTATCCACCCCAGGGCGGGTGTAACTCTCATACCCATAATCAATCAAACTCTAAAAGGCTGCCCCATGACCACATGAGGCTTTGGGGGGACACCCAGGCACAAACCATAACACTATTCTAAACCTTTTATATTGCTCTAGAATTTTCTTCATAAAAACCTTCCCATCAAAGTCAGTTTTATTTCCTTCAGCCAGCGTCTGGAATTTACTGTACATTACAGACACAGAACAGATAGTATGTGTGATGCTAGGTATAGAAAGGTACTTGAACATTCTTCTCTTCAGTGCACTGCCCTGGGGGTAAAAAGGTCCATGTGACGAGTCATGTGGAGAAGTTTATGAAGTGAACGCTGGCTCAGTCCTGTAAGACTTTTGAAAATTATATCTAGAAAAGGGATCCCCTTGTGGGCTGTATTTTTTTTAAACATAAAACCACAAGGAACCAAAAATAGAAGATGTAAAGAGCTGAGAAATACAAAAATTTTGGAAGCTGGAAAGCTGATAGTTAAGTGGTAACGGATACAGCACTTAAAGGGGTCAAGCAGTTTATATGAAAAATATATCAGATAGCCTCAGAAATTGGAGACACTGGAAACTTCAGAAAGGTGGGGTATAGAGGGACTAAGAAACAGAAAGCCAGGTTGAAAGTCAGCAGTACCATGAAAGTGGCCACCCAGCTGAACACAAGGACAATCAGAACAAGATTAGACACAGACGTAAGACCCCCAGAATCTGTATGAGAGAGAGAGGAGCATGGTGGTGCATGCTTGTAATCCCAGCATTGGGGAGGCCGAGGTACGAGGATTTCTGGGCTGCAAAGCGAAGCCAGCCGGGGCTACATAGGGAGATCCTGTCTGAAGTGGGGGGGACAGCCATGAAAGAAACAGATCCCATAGATGCCTAGAATTTCTTCAAACTCTTACTTTTTTTTCTACTTCAAAAGAGATCTAGGCATCATTTTTATCATATATTGTTTGCAATAATATAAAAAAGATTTTTCCTGAATCTACAAATGAAAATGAGAATACCGTGGCCTGTAAGTTTTCTAGCTTAATATGCAAATGCCCTGGCATTCCTCCATGAACTTGTGGGTGGGTGTGATGCAGAGAAACTATATACAGGGCTCTGTGTGCTGAAACTGGGTTTAGATCTCAGTAACAGTGCTTACACAGAGCCAGCAAGGACGTTCCTGAAAAATACATGCAAAGTCTTAAATGGTGTGGAAGAAGTCCTCCATTGAATTGAAGTTTTAATCTGCTTGGAAGTTGGCTGTCTTCAACTACCTCATCTCTTTCTTAGTATTAATGTCCTTTTCACATTTCATTAAATATCTTTTTTAAATTTTGTTTTTGATAGAAACATAAAAAATACAGAATACCTTTTTGAAGCCTAATGCAATTAATACATAGAGAAAATGCCTATTTTCTACTTGTGCTCTTAAAAATGTTGTGCCCGTTGTAATGATTTATTAGGTGTTTAGCATCTTATTCCCCTTTATTATGTTGTTTGCAGGCAGAATTCTTCCTTCGTGTACTCTGGCATATGGCAGTGGTGGTACGGTATTAAAGGACAGCAGTGTGCTTACCTTGTAAAGGTCCTTTTGTCCAGAGGTTGGAAAATGAGAACTAGTATTATAAGCAGCTTTTTGTCTCCAAAATCGCAATATTTTATTTTTCTTTAGTATAAGAACAGTGTATGTCATATAAAAATCAGAGAAGACTGAGACGCAGTCAGCAGAATACCTTAATGTGTATCTTCATCCTTTCTCATGCATATTTATTCAGCTATGTATATATGGAAATATATCATTTTTTGTACATGTTATTTAATCAGTGGAGCTCTTGAGTATCTGACATGTGCAGAATATACTGTCATTATATTTATAGTCTGGATAAGACAGCGCAAAAATATAAGGAGCGATATGAAGTCAGGTGCCGTGTCTGTAAACTCGGGTATGTCCTGAGCTCTTGGGAGCTCTGTGAAGGATTGGGTGGTGCGAGAAGCAAAATACTGAAGGTGTATGGGCGTACTAAGTGACAGCTGTGTGTCTTATTCCTATCTTTACTCCACGTTCTTAGTCTATATGTCTAAGATAATTTTTTCTCCTGGTACTGGGGAGGTTCCAGGCTTTCACGTGTGCTAAGCAAGGGCTTTACCAGTGGTCACATCCACAGGGCTCCCCCCTTTAAAGAGAAGACCTTGCTTAAGTTGTCCTCAAACTTGCAATCGTCCTGTCTCAGCTTCCCAAGTAACTGGCACTACCGGTATGCACCACCATGCCTGACCCAGAAAAATACCAATTCCATTTATAGAAGTAGGCAAATAGTGAGGGAAATTTTTTATTTCAGGAAGAACTTTGAGATACTTGTTCTAGGTGAAGTGCTTAAGCATGTCCAGCCCTCTGCCCACAGGCCTCCTGCAGCCCTGGACAGCCAGTAATGCATCCCACAAGATTGTAACCTTCTAACCTGGTGTGATTTTTAGTGGTGGTTTCCATGCCGTGATTGTGTGGTGTTCTGCTATGGGCTGCCTGGGTGATGGTGGGCTCCATAGGGGGAAGCAGCATGCAGCGCCAGCTCTGCCTGCCGTGCGCACAGACAGTGGTGTGAAATCCCTGTGTGTCAGATTTACACACGTGTGCAACTAAAAAACCCCAGTGATGACTGATGGTAGTATTTCAGCCTACCTCCCTGAGGGTGGGCCTGTGAAGACAGGTGATTATTGTTGTTCATCAGACGTGTATTTAGTTACTACACTTCATCATGTGTTATTTTGTAAAGTAATTTGATAAGTTAAAATATCTTTTAAAAGGGCATGTTGTGATTTCCATATATGAACTATAATTATACATTCCACGTATGGCCCAAGATAATTCCTCTTCATTCATTGCAGCCCAGTCAAGCTAAAAGGTTGTATACCTACGACATACTTGGTTAAAGGTATAGAATGAGAGTCCTGCTGAACAGTTGAAACAGTTTTGAGAACCATCTCCTTATTGGACAGTGGATGAATTCCCTAAAACACGGGCCTGGCAATAATTGGTTTTATTTCACATTACCCCTTATGCCATCCAATGTTACCACTACATACCAGGCCAGAAAATACAAAATTCCTACTTTTCAGTGCGTTAGAAGAATGAGGGTTTGTTTATGCTGTGCCAAGAATTTAAAACTGTATCTTTGAAATTCTGACATTTCTTCTTGGTTTGCCTCGAGGCATAATAGTTAGGACGTACTGATTCTGTGTGTGTGAGCGCGCGTGCTTGTGTGTGTGTGTGTGTGTGTGTGTGTGTGTGTGTGTGTGAAGGCTGGTTAGCTTTCTTAAAAATTTTTCATATGCCCTTAAATTTTAGATTCTCAAGCTGTTTTTGTTCTAGTCCTGTTGTATCTCACATCTGTGCTTAGGTTTTCACTTATAAATCATGTTTCATGTATATGAACAGCATTGGGAATGTGACCTTTCTCATGACCCTGAAAGCTAAATTTTTGCTTTGCATTCCCCGGAAGAAATGTCACTAAACATGCACATTCTGCTTTTCCCCTAGGTAAAAATCTCTACACCAATGAATATGTAGCAATCAAACTGGTGAGTAGAATCTCTGTTTATAGTAATTGTTTTGGGGCTTTCACTGCTTATGTCTTTGTATAGCAAAGAGTTGTCAGCATTCATAACAGTATTGATGCTATGATTTCCTTGTATATGATCTCACATGGTAATTTTTCTTCAATTATAACATAATGATGAATCACTAATTGGCAATGGTAAATCAAAAATTACTTGATAAAAAATAGCTAGAAAAACTAGTAAATCTGTGGCCTCTATATCTTTCACCTTTAAAAAGATAGTCATTTTCTTCAGTATTTTTGATCCACTTTGAAAATGCAAGGTGTTAATGTACTTTGATGAAAACCAAATCTCATCATCTAATCATGACCTAGAAAAGCTACCAGGCATAAAACTCCCATGTGGTCAAATTAGAAGCAGAGTTCAGTACTAATCTTATGAATAACTAAACCAGTCATTGAAAATAATATTTTATTTATTTCAGAGTAATGAGACTAGGTCTCACCCCTTACTCTATGCTGGCTTTGAACTCATTCTGCAGGCCAGGCTGGTCCTGAACTCATGATCCTCCTGCCTCAGCCTCCTAATTTCTGGGATTATAGGTGTGTGACACCATGCCTAGCAGGATCTTACTTTTGAAAGAGAATACTTTTGTTATTGTTGGGGAGTAATAATTTTGGAAGAAACAATTCTTTGTCTTATATTTAAAGGTAATCCAAAACCATTTCTTGTCATACAGAACAAATTATATAATTAGTTCCTATGAGAGTGTAATTGCCCGTCCTCTTAGAAAGGTGCATTGGCCAGAATCTACTGGTAGTTTTGTCTTATCACTTGCAAGGCAGAGGAGTTAGTGCTTAGGGAAGTAATCTTACGGTGATTGAACGTTGTTCACGTTTACTGCAGTCACACCTGTTCTGTGCTTGGTCACTTCTCTCACCAGGTTGTTAGTTTGTGGAGGAGTTAGGATATCTTGTGAAGACTGACAGATCCTTTTTCTCAGTGAAGGGGCAGATGGTAAACAGGGGTCAGAGCAGGCCACTTGCAGGGAAGCCCAGCACTTTTATGTTTTGACTTGGAATTTTTGTGGAGGGATATAGGGAGAGAATGCATATGGTAATGCAGGTCATGTATCCTCTCTGACAGAAAGTTAAGGGAGTAACCATATTTCTTTATTTATAGGAATTTCATTGTTACTTTAAAAGCATTCTCTAGTATAGCTATCTTTTTTTTCTTCTTCTGTTTTACTAAATAATCCAGAGTAATCTTGGGTTATTTGGGGTACAGACAGGAAGAAGCAAGCAGTCCTTAGAACACTTTAAACTCTTGCCTCATTACTGTGTACTTGTTACTATGCCTTTGTATATCAAGACTTGTTTTCAGGCTTTTAGGGACAGTTGTTTTTATCTAGAGTTCTTGTGCCTGTTTCATGGTAGTTGACTTGTATAGATAGTTATAAACATATTACAGACATGATTGACCATAACATTTCACTTTCCTTTTATTAAACTTCTATTTTTTTATGGCCAGTATTTAAAAGTACAGGTTTGGGTACAGAGCAGTAGTAGAATGCTTGTGTAGCAAGTGTGAGGCATTATCTTCAGAACCAAAAACAAAACAAACAAAAAATGGAATTTATATCATCTAGTATGATGTGTCTCAGTGCTGTATTTTTTTCTTTCTTTCTTTCTTTCTTTTTTTTTTGTATTTCTCTTTCAAATAAGTCTTAAGTAAAGATATTTAAAAGAGTAACAGTCTTGTCTGTGGTCCTCTTCTCTTGCTTTTGGGCTTGTTCTCCAAGGGAGTTATGAGGATGGTAATTGAGCTCCTTTCACAGTAACAGCAAAATTTGCCTTAAGCATTGCACTCCTACAAGGTAGCCATCTGCTGTTGGTTTAGGATTTCATGCAGGCATGTGTGTTCCAGAATAACCACGATTCTGGCAAATGGCCAGCCCTTTATGGAAATGTAATCAACATCTGGCACAGAAATGAAAGGAAGCCCTGCTGCTGCTGCTCCCACTTCTACTTTGTTTGGATCTTCACTGTGGGTTCTTGTTTCTTAGTTATTTTTTTTTTTCTTTTTGAGACAGGGTCTCACTATACAATTCAGGCTGGCCTTGAGTTCACTTTGTAGCCTAGGCTGGTCTTGAACTTGGAACAGTCCTCCTGCCTCAGCCTCCCAAGTGCTGGGATTGCAGGTGTGCACCACCATGCCTGGCTGTTAGGTTTTTAAGAACTGTAAAAATATATGAAGAAGATACGTCATGAATCCTTTCATTACCCAGTTTCTAGGGTAAGACATTCTCTCCATGTCACTCATCTTGCTGTGTTCTATAAGCTGTGGACTGTGTGTGGGGCCTTCTGTCCTTAGTGCTTCCATCAAAGCTCCTGGAAGCACCAGTTGGCTGAGCAGGCTACAGCCATGTGGTGAAGTGGTTGGCTGAGGGTGTAATTCCACACGGTGATAAAAAGCCCCTCACGTCTGAGTGTATGTGAGGTATTTGCCAGTTTTCAACCCTGAAACTCTTAAAGTTTTGCTGCTTTTATTTATAGTTCCCAAGATCAGATTGACTATTACCCACTAAAATTTCCAGCATGAAGTGTGAGAACAGTATGTCTAAGGAAAGATTTTAAAGTCATTACCCCTTGTGGTCTGTCATGATCTCACAACCATTTCTCCAGAAACAACAGTCCTGTTCCTAGTGTTTTAACCCACCTCAAGTTCCATGGTGATTTGTCATCACTATTTCTGTTTGACTTCTCCTGAAATTATTTTTAGAGACTTTGCTGCTGCAATTCTGTAAATGGCTGCTTTGATGGTGATAAGGTGGATGATCTGGAATGATCCCGTCTCTCTGAAAAGGAATGAGGACGGCAGAGACTGTTGTCCTAGTCTCACTTTTCTTTTGACTGGAGAATCTTGAGAAACTTGTAGTCCAGTGATTGTTGCTTTTACATTCAAAGCAGAGTTAAAGTTTTATTTCATAGAGTTTCCCTGTGATATGAAATATTCCAGTCTGCCTAAGTTGATCTTAGTAAGGTACGATCTTACTAAAAGCATGAGATAAACTGAAAAATTTCAAGGACACCTCTGAGTCTCTGGTTTATGGATTCTTTATCTTAAGAAAAACGCAGAAAATTTCAAATGGATTTAGGAAAGAGTCTTCAAAGAATTTAAAAAATAAAAGAATTAAAAAATAGAACCAATGAGGAAAAGTTAAATGAATTAAAATTACATTGCCTGTAGGAAGTCAGTCTAGGGAGTGATTGAGCTGTTTATAGTATTTGAAGATAACTAATAAAGTATTCCTAGATTGTGAGAAGCCATTTTGTCTTGTTACTGAGAACATACAAGAAATAAACGTTTCAGTAATGAGATTTAAGTTAAACATACAGGCCTTCTGAGCCATGAAACTTGTTAAACACTAGCCATGAATTACCAAGGGGAATCACTGGCATCTACTTCCTTGGAGTTTGAATAAAAAGTTCTGTCACTGGGAAGAAATAATAACAATCTTTTCAAACAGCAGTGCTGGGGAAACCGCATTTCCACATAGGAAGTGCGATTTTAAAAAAAATACCGATGAATATTTAAAATTTAAAAATCAGTTATAATAAAAGACATACTGTCCTTAACCTCTCTCACAATAGTCTCCCTGCTTTGAACGCACTTACGCTGTCATTCTTGCCACTTCTTGAAGTGGTTCTGGAAGTCCTCTTTTGTGAGTGTCTTTAGTTGGGCTGTCACAGTTGTCTTGATGTCCTGAATTGTTTCAAAATGTGTACTTTTCATAGTCATTTAGACTTTGGCAAAGAGCAACATGTGGCCCAGTGTCAGACGCACAGGAAGAAGACACATTTTTTGGCTGTTTCTTTTACTTATAAAATTGTTACTTGACTGTGTGTATAGTACATGATTACACTCACTGTGGGGAACGGGTTGAAGTCACATTTTAAAGAGCCTGCCTTTCCCTTGGACAGCACCTGCAGCAGCATACACCACAGTTTTTCTTTCTTTCTTTCTTTCTTTTTTTTTTTTTGTTTTGTTTGTGGTGCTGGGGATTGAAGCCAGGGCCTTGTGCATGCAAGGCTAGAGCTCTACCACTGAGCCACATCCCCAGCCTCCACCACATTTTTTATCCTACCTCGTACAAGGAAGTTGGACCTTTCCCTTATGCTATAAAAACAACTTGCGATGGAGCAGACACCTAAGTGTGAGGTCTAACGCTATAAAACTCTTGGCAGGAAACATTGAGGAATGCACTGTGACCTTGGAATTGGCAGTGGTGTCTTGGATATGACACCAAAATCACAGGCAGCAAGTAAAAAAATAAGTAAATTGAACTTCAACAAAATTTAAAACTCCTGTGTATCCAAGGACATTTAGCAGAGTAAAGAGGTTGAAAAGATTTGAAAATATCCAATAAGAGATATCTAGAGTTTCCCATTTTAACCATTTGTCATTGGACATTTCTGTGTTATTAAGTACATTGGAATTGTTGTACAGCCATCATGACCATCTGTCTCCAAAACTTGGTCTTCGCTAGCTACAAGTTTGTTCCCATGAAACATTAATCCTCCTTCCTCCTGTCTCCAACCGAGGCGGCCACCGTTGTGCTTTCTCTTTCTGTGAGTTAGACTGCCCTCAGCACTCGTGGGAGTGGGGTGATCCACACTGTCCTTTGTGACTGGCTTATTTCACTCAGCATGGTGTCTTCAAAGTTCATCCTGTTGGAGCACGTCAGCGTTTCTCTCCTTTTAAATCTAGATAATAACTCCATTAGAGGCAGTTGCTACATTTTCCCAGACATCATCTATTGAGTCTCTGCTTTCAGTTCTTTGGTGTATGTATACACTCGGAAGTAGAGTCACTGAATTTAATACTTTAAAGAATTGACATGCCATTTACTGCAGCAGCTGCACCATTTCACATTCCTGCCAGCAGTGCACAAGGTTCCAGTTTCACATTTGCCAGCACTCGTTTTCTGGTTTTGATAACAGCCATCCTAGTAGGTGTGTAGAAGAAGTTTGTGATGATTTTTGCTTACCACGTATTTACAAAAGGGACAGGAAATCTTATCTTTCTCCATTGGGCAGTCCCATGTTTTATTGCCTTGTGAGCTGTTTGCCTGGTACACTGTCAGTTCAGAGAAACCAACCAGTCAGGTTTTTTTTTTTTTTCCCCTTCTCGGTTATGCTGTCGAGGCTGGCCTTGAACTCAATATGTACCCTAGGCGGGATGAAACTCAGTGATCCCACCTCAGCCTCCTAAGTGCTGGGATTGTAGGTGTGCACCGCCACGTGTGGCCACCAGCCAGTTCCTGACGTTTGAAATAGAGCAAAGTGTGGTTATTTGGCTGCTTTTCTCTGGGAACCTCCACCTCTAGGAATTTGAACACTGCGTTACTCGAAGTTGCATATTAAATTGTACATATAGCTTTTAATTCTCCTAAGTGTAAAAATATGCATAAGGATGTTCCTGAGAGCATTGTTTGTAATAGTAAAAGCTGAAAAATACGCAGATACGCACAGAGAAATGTTTTAATTATAAAAAATACTGTACACCTTTACTGCCATGGAAAGATGTCATTGTCACATTTTAAAATTCAGAAACACATTAATAAGCAGCAGATACAGTATGATCTATATAAAAAATTCTTTATGAGTCCATACTATATATAATACATGAGTAAATAAGTATTTAAAAAACACAAATGTTAGTAGTGGCTGTCTTACTGTGGTAGCTCAGATTATTTTTACTTTCTTTCTAAGTGAATTTTTTGAACACTTAATATTTTTCTAAAAATAGTAAAACTGTTCTAACATCTTCCCCCCAGATCATAATTAAACAAACAGGAAATCTATCCATTTTATTTTTATTTTTTAAGATTTCATATTTGGTTTCTAGGGAAGACACATTTTGAGAGAGTATTTCACATGGCAGGAGCTGATGGCTCACAGAGAGTGTAAGTTTGACTGCTCGTAGGAGAGGTTGATATACTCTAGCTCGTTGTAGCTGTCCAGAACTTTCAAGGACAAATTGTGGTAAGAACACATTATCACATATAGGTATTAGCCCTTTTTCACTCTGAGAATCTAGGAATTGGAAAGTCCCATTTGCCTAAGTCTGATTCTCTTTGGGTTTCAGGAACCAATAAAATCACGAGCTCCACAGCTTCATGTAGAGTACAAGTATTATAAACAACTTGGCAGTGCAGGTAAGTCAAGATTTTTCTTTTTTTCCCCTCTAGTTAATACAGATTTTATTTGGAAGCCCTAAAATAGGCATGTTTTTATTTGGCGTACCCTTTTTGTCAGACCTGCTTGCTGGCTAGCGAACCAGAAGGTTCTTGCTCTTTTGTTCCTAGGGCATGATTAAGTTGGCTGGTGCTCTGTGATCCCCTGACCGTTCCCACAGATCAACCTTTAAATGTTTACAGTTGCTTCAGATACCTGTGTGGGGTGGAGTTTTGCTTTTTGGTAGTTCATTCCTTTTTGTTTGTTTGTTTATTTTGGTACTGGGGCTTGAACCCAGGGCCTTCACACTGAGGTACATTCCCAGACCTTTTTTAAATTTATCTTTTTAATTTGAGATAGGGTCTCACTAAGGCACTAGGTTGCTCAAACTGGGCTCAAACTTGCAGTCTTCAGGCCCCAGCCTCCCAAAGTGCTGGGAGAGGCTGAGGCAGGAGGATCATCACAAGTTTGAGTCCAGCCTGGCCTACATAGTGAATTCAAGTTTAGCCTGAACTAAATGAGATCCTGGCTCAAAAAAAAAAAAAAGTGCCAGGACTACAAGCATGTGCCACTGCACCCACTTATTCTTTTCATTTCTTTATGTATACCAAAAAGAAAGGAAAAAAGATTGATAATGTGCAAGCTGTAGTCTGTGTATTGAGACACATTCTAAAACACCTCAGCACTGTCTTTTATCCATTGTTTTTGTTAGTTTGCAAGAGCTATCCATATGTTTACAATAACTGACCTTTGGGGATTTTTTTTTTTAAGGTACTAAGGATTGCACCTAGGGTCTTGCCTTTGGCTCTGCTACTAAGCTAGCTTCCTAGCTCTTTTGAGGATTTGGCTAAATTGCACAGGCTGGCCTCGAACTTGTGATTCTTGTTCCTTAGCCTCCCAGGTAGCTGGGGTTTCCGGTGTGTGCCATTGTACCTGGCATCTTCGGATCTTTTTTAAAATTAAGTTTGTAACTTTTTAAATGTCTGCTGTTTACCAAAAAGCTCCAATTTCTAAAATATTGTACTAACTTGCAGAAAAATATCTTGACTAAGCAAATGTACCAACCCTAAACAGGCTGTAGTTTTAGGTCACCTCTCAAAAGATGAAATCTTTCGTAGCTAGTTTCATTAGTTGACATTTGTAGAGGTTCCTCTGTTTTTATGCCCCTGTAGGTGTGCTACTTTTACGTGAATGAAGCATGGTTGGAAGGGACTATTTGTGGAATTTTACTTGAATAACACGCAGTAGCTATAGAATTATATACGAGCAATTGGGTATTACTGAAGTTTTATAACCTGACAATGGCAGAAATCAGCTGTTGTTATAATTTAGGGAGACATGACGGGTATTTGTCTTTCGCTGAATTTAGTGTGTGAGTTTTTGTTAACAGTAGGTAGCTTCTTGATACATTTCTTGACTAACTGTATCCTTAAACATGGAGTAATTTTCCTGGCATAAAATATGAGACTGGTAACTGCACTCACAGGTGTATTTGTGTATATATATATAAACCATATATATATATGGTTTAAGGTTTATCTTCTCTGATGTTGTAGTGTTCAGTTTTAATTGTTGTTCCTCTTATATTCTTCCTGTTTCATAATGTTGTTCTGAGTTTCATAAATTTCACAGTGATGATTATCACAGCCCACTTATGATAAGGATGTTCTTGCATCTCTCACAAATCTAAGACATAAGTAGAAACATACTTAATCCAGCCTAACTGGGGGAAGGGGCCAGGCAATTTACAGGATGTACTGTGTAAGTCCTTCCAGATAGACCCAGCAGATGATGCCAGTCTTCCTTTTCTAATAATGAGCCAAGTCATTACACACGGTGGCACATGTAGTGCTGGTAGCTTGGGAGGCTTAGGTGGGAGTATTGCTTAGGCCCAGGAGTTTGAGACCACCACATCTCAAAAAACCAAAACAAGGCTGAGCATGTACCTTGGTGGTACTGCACTTATTTGGCCTGTTCAGGGCCTCAGAACTATCAAAAAAGGAGCCTCCAAAAATCTCACCAACTCGTTACATAGGGATCAAATCTTTGCTGCTTTGAACTTTCTCTAAAATACAAAACAGTACAGTCTTGAAGTTCTGGCATTGGTTGTGCACCAAAAGCAAGGAGCAAATAGAACATTGGAAGAAAGGGAATTATAAAGGAGCACTAGCTCTGAGACTGCACATCAGTCATTGCCGTTGTGGGGATAGAAGAGCTGTGTGGCAGCGTCAGGCCAGCTGTTACAGTGGGCTGGCTGTCTTAGATCTCTCTCTAGAATATTTTCTGACAGTCAAAAGTCAGGAAGCCTTCCAGTTTTTATGTGAAGTTCAGTGGCAGTTCCTGTCCCTTTTTTTTTGGCTCCTTGAGCTCACCCTGTCCTCTTAACATAACTGAAGTGGGCGGTATTGTCTTAATGGATTCTTGCCAGCAACTAATGGTAGCCACAACGTTTTCCAAAAGAGGAAGAACTTCGGAGATGTATTCCAAATTTCTCTCCAGCGTAAGAACGGCTTTTAGGATTTACTTAATGGTTATCTACCGCTCCTTGACTTCTAGCCAATAGTGTTCACCATTATTCTAGATAATTCATTGACGGAAAGCATAAGACATTTGAAGTTCTTGATATTGGTCCAAAATCTGCTATTTTCATTTTCATGGAACATAGTTGGACTTTCCTGTATCGATTCAGAGATACTCATCACATCTATTGGATACTCCCCCATTTACTATCCACCTCCAACTCTTTTTGGCCAAATGCTTTTGGTTCATTCAGTCTTTTTGCGTAGCATGCTTTAAGGTTTTTCCCTGTTATTGCTACACCAGCAAGCACACGCGCACACACACAGGTGCGTTCACGCGCGCGCGCGCACACACACACACACACGACACCTTTAGTTTTGAGGTGTTCCTCTTAAACCAGCCTCAAAAGCAACAAGAAATAACTTCACACATGTCTTCAATCTGGACACAAAGTTTCTCTTAATTTACATTAGCTTCCCCCCCAGCTTTATTGAGGGGTAATTGGTAAACAAAAATTACATATATTAATAGCCATTTCTTACAGGTGGTCATCAATGCGTTTATGGAGTCATACTCAGCTGAAACCTATAAATCTTTTACATAAATTACCATCAATGAAGTGGGTTTTTTTTTTTTTTTTGCATTTTGTAGTATATAATAGGTTTTGAGCACCTAAACCTTTCTGTTATGGTTGAAACATTGTGTCAACTTGGGAAGTCTAGAGGTTTGGCTAAGTGTCTCAGCAGGAAGCCAGGATACTTACTTTGTATACATCCTGAGCCTGTGAAAGAGGAGGGCAAAGATTATGTGAGAGCTACACGCCCCTTAGGTGGGGGTAGCCTGTTTACAAAGTAAAGCAGAGAAAGAAGCTGCT